TTCCTCCACTTCCGTTTGCTTCTCTCTGCTTAATCTGCTCCTTTTATATCTCAGAGATGATCAGTTTAAAACACAGCCTACACTGACAGGGCCTCTTAACGCAACAAAGAAAATCCATTCCTGAATGGGGTTATAACCACAGTATAGGGGTTAGGATTTATACATATTGTTGGGGGACACAATTCAATTCAGAACAGCTTCTAACTGAAAAGTTAGAGACTCAAGTCCACCCAGAGGTGCCTTGGAAGAAAGGCCTGGTCCATCAGCCCTTGCAAACCCTGTGGAGCACAGTTCTGCTCTAACACACGCGGGGTTGCCATGAGTCAGCATTGAGAGCAACTGGTACTGTGGTTATGCAGCCACAGGTAACCGAAATGTTCTAAACTGGCTGGTGGATTCGAACAGCTGACCTTTTGGTTCACAGCCGAGAGCTCTCAACCACTGGGCCACCAGGGTTTCTGCATGGTTCATCACTATACATATACATGAAAAATTATTTTTAAAACGAATCTAAAGGGCAAAGACCTAATTCATGAAAGTGGTTACCTGTGTGGAAGAAGAAATGGGAACAGGGCAGGGAAAATGAATAAGGAGGTCAAGTTTATCCTTATTAAAAATATTATCCTCTTATTAAAAAACACACCTGGATTAGAAATCATAAAACGTTAACCTTTGTAAGTTCTTGGCAATGGGAACACAGGTGTTGTCTGTTACATCAGCCTCTGTACTTTAAAAAACATCCTGTAAGAGGACAGGAGGGTTAAGAGGGGCTTGAGAACACTGAGAGATGCTGGTTGGAATAACACGGTACCCCTGGAAGCCAAGGAGGATGTATCTACAGCAGCCAATTCAGCAGAGCAGCGCAAGTGCGTCCAGGCTAGAAAAGAAGCCTGTGGACTTAGAAATAAGCAAGTCAACAGTGACCTTGGATAGCAGCTCGCTTCTCTAGAGAAGTGGGCACAGAAATGGGATGCAGGGGAAAAAGGGGAAGGTTGATGCTGAGAAAAGTCTGGCCTTAAAAGAAAGGAAGTTGAGAAGGAAGATGGTAGCTAGAGGGAGCCCAAACCCAAAACCCACTGCCGTTGAGTTGATTCCGATTCCTAGCAACCCCATAGGGTTTCCAAGGCTGTAAATCTCTGCAGAAGCAGACTGCCACATCTCTCTCCTGCAGAGCCACTGGTGGTTTCAAACTGCCCACCTCTCGGTTAGCAGCCGAGTGCTGTAACCAGTGTACTACCAGGACTCCTTCCAGAGGGAGCAGCAGGGTCAAATACAGACTCTTGTTTTTTTTAATTTTTCTCCCACATAGGAAGACGTTTCTTAAAAAAAGTTTCAAAGAGAACCTCCAACTGGCTTATTTTTTTTTCACTGTGGTGAGCATAAGGTCCTGTGCAAAAGAAAAAATGAGCTTCAGGCAAACTATTCCAGACTATCGTTATCTGTAAGGAGGCCTGGGGGCACAGTGGTTGGCACTCTGCTGCTAACCCAAAGGTTGGTGCTTTGAACCCACCAGCCGCTCCAAGGAACAAAGATGTGGCAGTCTGTTTCTGTAAAGATTACAGCCTTAGAAACCCTATGGGGCAGGTCTACTCTGCCCTACAGGGTCACTGTGAGTTGGAATCAACTTGACAGCAATGCATTCGAGTTTTTTGGTATTGTTATTTGTTTTAGGCACCCAGGTTACTCCTAACATTTGTTCAGTGCTTTATAGCTGTCTTAGTTATCTAGTGCTGCTATAACAGAAATACCACAAGTGGATGGCTTTAACAAACAGAAGTTTATTCTCTCACAGTCTAGGAGGCTAGAAGTCCGAATTCAGGGCGCCAGCTCCAGGGGAAGCCTTTCTCTCTCTGTTGGCTTTGGGGAAGGTCCTTGTCATCAATCTTCCCCCAGCCTAGGAGCTTCTCCGTGCAGGAACTCCAGGTCCAAAGGATGCGCTGTGCTCCTGGAGCTGCTTTTTTGGTGGTACGAGGTCCCCCTGTCTCTCTGCCCGCTTCTCTCTTTTATATCTCAAAAGAGATTGACTTAAGACACAACCTAATCTTGTAGATTGAGTCCTCCTCATTAACATAATTATCGCTAATCCCACCTCATTAACATCATGTTGTTGTTAGGTGCTGTCAAGTCACTTCCCACTCATAGCGACCCTGTGCACCACAGAGCGAAACACTGCCCGGTCCTGCGCCAGCCTCACAATCCTTGTTATGCTTGAGCCCACTGTTGCAGCCACTGCGTCAGTCCATCTCGTTGAGGGTCTTCCTCTTTTTCACTGACCCTCTACTTTACCAAGC